CAGTACCTCTACTACTCTGAAGCTTTAGCTACTTTCACTTCCAAATTAAATTACACTCCAACTGTTTAAAGTTTTGCCTTTTTCCCCCCTTCAGGATGTCATCTCCAGCCTCAACCCCTTGGAAGAAAGATTACACAGCAGCATCAAACAGTGTCTGAGACAAAGTAAAGTCTATAAAATACATGAGGTTGTTTCCTCGATCTTTTTTCTCTGGAAGTTACAGATCTGCATGGAAAACCTCTAAGCCCTTCTAAAATGATAAAAGAAAATAAATGTAGTCCTGGGGTTGAAGCAACAGAATGGGTATCAGGATCTTAGTTCTCAACATGGATCTAACAAACACACAAGACACAAACAGAAGCAAAAATTGCCTTCTACCCTAGCCCTATTTTCTTCAGGAGTGATAAAGCAGGCACCTAACCTCTTAGGTCCAAAATCATAGAGGTATTTATATACCTAAAGGCCCTTGTGAATCTGGTTGTTAGCAACTCCATACCCAAGCTTGAAAATCAATACCTACTTTCTCTGTTATTACTCATTTAAGCTTCATATTTGTGAATCATTTAGCTATCTTCATATGAAAGACATTAAAAGCCTCTACCTTGTCAAGACAGTGACTACCAGCCATGATATTAATATAAAACTCAGGACCAAAAACAATCATGTTTCCAATAAGTGTACAAATAATTTATTTAAAATTCAAAACTCAGAGGTACAAACAAAATCTATACAAGAACCAATAACTTCATAAATGTAAAACGCTCATAGAAAATACATGAACTGTACCAGTTTAACCACCCACCATTCTTCACAGAAAACAGTGAGAAGTATAAAGACAAATCAAGGCCTAACTGTTCTTTCCTTAAGACTCTAGTTTAGGAGGTAGAATACTACTGTGAAAGAGGACTCAAAACATAACAAAATTTACTTCACTGGAATTACAGTAAGGGTGAATTTGGCCCAATGTATTTATACATGTCAGGTAGCTGTAAAAGTGGTTTCCTTATAATTTTTGCTTACCAAACAGCACCAAGATAGATTAAATATCATTCTGAAGCTCCTACAGCTAGACATTCTGCATTCATTACATATTCAGAACACCACCTGGCATCCACGACAACTTTTGGTACAAGAGAAATACAGGATTGTGACTATTACTCTGGTAAGTTTTAGGATGGCACTTATACAGTTAAAACACCTGCCCTTTAATACTAATATAGTCTCTTATGAGACTTAAGGATTTTGTGTTTGTTGAAGAGAAGCAAACTTTTAAGGTAGCCAAGATTTGCTATTCTATCAAGGCAGAGAAGGCCAGAAAGGATTCTTTGCAAAACAGTTTTTAGAACACCACATCAGGGAAACGATTTATCATTCCAGAGGGAGACTTTTTGAAAGGTTTCACTGGACTTGACATTTTCTAGTTTGGGTGGCACAGTCTGCAAGACAAAAAAAGTATTACAGAATAGGGAAAAAACTCTCCTTTCCACTTTTTAAAGGCAGAAAAAGTGATCAGTTTTATATCACATTTTGATTCAGGAAATCTCCATTCTGCCTTCTCATGAATGAGGTAAGTGTGCTTGATACATTACCCCTTCAATAAACTAAGGCAGACTTAGAAGAAAAGGATCTTTCATTTCTTGGATTTGGCAAGTTCCTCAAACAACATTTCACAAATAGAAATAAGGCTTGGAATTCTGCAGACAATATCTACAAGAAGATCATAAAAATGTAAATACACTATAATATTAAAAAAACCAAATGCAAGCTTAGGGGCATTCCACATTATTCAGTGAAAAAACAAGCATGTTTATATACAGGCAGACAAACTGCTAAGTGCATTTTTATTTTAGTTGTAGCATGCATGTTGTAGGGCCTTATAGGAAAAAAAAATCTATAAATAAAAAGTTCTGCTACACTTGTGCCATTTAGTTTATCAAGAGTCCTCCCCCACCTATTTGCTAAAGGATACTTATGTTTTTGAATGAATACATCAAACTTGCAATCTTGCACTGTAATGAAAGCCCACTTGTAAATATGATAATCTACCCTAAATATTTTTTGAGAGCCAGTGAGTATCAATCTGAATCATTTCCTTTAAAATCAGTGGGAACAGTGAGGTTGATACTCTGTGCCATCCTACTAGCACTCATCCTCTGTCTACTTAACAAAACAGAACAAGATAGATTAACAGTCATTCAGAAGCTTCTGGAACTAGAAATTCTACTTTCGTTAACTATCCAGAACTAACTGTGATGACAGTTTTTGATATGAAAGGAACCTAGAAATGTGACTTTTATATAAAGATAATTTAAGATGGCAAAAATAGCAATTTATCCATGATCACCAATAGGAAAACCTTCCCATGTTTTCTCTCTAAAGGAAGACATTACTTAGCATATAAAATTGACTGTCCTCTCTGTGGGTGCTTGTTTAGTTTTAAAATAGAGATGTGTAAATAGGCTTCCTTTCAAGCCAGTATTCCGGTCCCATTTTCTCAAACCGTCACCTGAACCATTCAGTTTACCAAATATTACAACACACTGGAAATTAAAAACAACACAGCTGAAATTAAAATGAGCTCTACTGATTATGATATTGTCCCAATATTAAAACATAAGCATGGTTGAAGGAAACCAAACTATCACGGACTGTAATTAAAAGCTGAAGGTACCACCTATGAAGAGAAAATAAGATGTACAAAAATGCAGTGCCCTCCAATCTATAGTCAATGTGGATTTTAAAAAACAAACAAACACTAATACAAAGATCTTTGCCACCAAAAAAGAGCTAAACATATCATGAGAATAAGGAAAAACTGTAGGTGTGGAGATCATGCAAGTGACAGGCCAAATCTTGCCTTCTTATTCCAGCATGTAGATTCCATTCATTGTTGTTTGTTGGCATGAATACATAGCAAAGACAAGAATTTGACTTAATTACACTGTTAAAAGTTCATGCCAGAAAACAAATGTTAATTCACAAATTAAATTATGGAACCACCACGAAAACTGCTTCTTTGACAAGCCAGTAAGGGCTCAAACAAGCTATTTTTAGCACACATCAAGGGGCTTTCTTTTGCTATTTTTCAAATTTATCTTTCATTGTCTCTTGTTTTCTACAATGCTCTTTAACTCAGGGTCAACATAATACTTTTTCTGCATATGTACAAACTAATTGCTTTTAACCCTGGAAAAGCTATAGTTACCACAATTTTCACCTCTCAATGGGATTTGTATACATTCAATTTAAGCAATTTACCTCCTATACATGCAAAACATGTACAAAACTGCACAATAACAGAAAAGGTTTTTTTCAAACTTCAAAGCTTTTAAAAGTATCAAGATAAAGCTGACTATTAAGTTGGTATCTATTTTGCTATTTTTTCACAGCTGACAGAAGCATTGGTTAAAATAAGTCATCATGCATATCTGTTTGCAAGTTTCATCATTACAGGGGTTTCCATAGAAAATTAGTTTCACAAAGATATCACATTTTGGCACTTGTAGGGCACCACTTTCTCATTTTAGATACTGGCAGCACATGAGACACCTAAATGTAAAAGAGCAAAATATTTATGGTGCCTTTGAGAATTAAACTGGTCAGGAAGTGATATTTTCTTGAGCCAAAGAGATTAACAGAACTGTTAATTATTTTTCCAACATGACAAACACACTAAATTGATATGCAGTCACCAGAGAGAAAACTCATTGCTTCATGTACCCAATCACCAATTCTACATTCCAAGATTTGGCAACTGTACTGTGTGCAGCACAGAAATCTTCTCACACTTAATTATACAAACACAGTCTTGTGGAACTTGATTGATACAAAATTACCAACCCTCTAAAGGCCCAATCCCATAAAGTTCAGAGATTCCATAATACCTAGCAACATAAATGGAAAATGAAGGTTTTCTCTCGTTAGAGCTAAAGATCTGAATGCCAAACTAATCATGTCATAGGATCTATTTTAAAACTAGAATTAGATGGAAAGGCAAATTCTTCACATGCTACAGCCTCACATTTTCTAAGTATAGTCATTATTCAAGAGTCTAGTGCCATTATGTTTGATTAAAACATAAAAGTCCTTTGATTATCCAATAACATCCCCCTCCAGTCTTTTGGGAAAATGAAGGGTTGTACTATATACAAAGGTAAATTTTATTCTTCAAAGGTAACTTCATCCCTTTGCAGTTAACTAGTCCAAGATTAATATATCACTTAAGTCCCATTTAAGCTCTATGTTGAGGGCTCAAATGATGCCTTGGGCTTTGCCAACTTTGCACAGAGTTGAATTCCATGTTAGAACCTGAAACAGACTAGGAATCAAGGTGTTGAAAATCCAAGGGATAGTTATATTTTGTAAGGTTCGTTTATTTGGAAAAGTCCCTTTAAATTGAAAGATGCAATGGTGCTATTTTGCGACAAAGTAGTGAAAAAAGTTAAAATCTGTATCTGTTCATTAGATGAGTGCAGCTGACCTCAGAGACATCCACACATGAAAATGGTTGCAGCATTGGTTTTGGATACTGAGAAATGCAACAGTAACGAACTTGATGGTAAGCCTTATGGCAGGTTACTTGACAGTTATTTTACTAATATCTTCTCTCAACTCTACAGCAAAATAATTTTTTCTTGCTACTTTTGTGGCATGCTGAGTGCTCCTTTCTTTCCCAGAACAGTGCAGAACGTGATGAATAGGGAAAATAAACACCATTAATAATTCATCTTTTATCACTGCTTGCCCAGAATTTAAATGGAGAACATAACAAAATTAGCTTTGCACGTTCATCCACAAGAGGCATACGGGCCCACAGTTAATATTCAAAACCGACTGAGATCACCACACACTGAATGCTACTTTACGTGCAACCTCAGTGGAGGGAACCACTTCTGGATTTTCCTCCTAATGTTTACACATAGACAAGGGCTTGTGGCCCATCACACTAATTAATATCCTGAGATTCATGCATGTTCTGAAGTACCTGCATATGACAGAGATTTTTTTTGTAGAGGCCAATACCTTTACACAAGTCATCAAGCTTCCCACTTCAACCAGAGAAGCAGGGATCCCTCAGAAACTGTTCTCATCTTGTATGTCCTTTTGAAGCCCTTATTTTTAGAAAAGACTTTCACTGACTCCAGCTGAGTTTTACCTGAGAAAGAACAAGTAGCTTGCACCATACTGGAGACAAAACTCAAGACATGTTTTTTTTCAAATAAAAGTAGATTGCTAATGTTCAAGTCCCCTTAGTCCATGTTTAAACCCCTACATAAGCAGCCTGTTTTGAAAAAAGTGCAAAGCTTTAGTTAAAGGAGAAAAAAGAAAAATTCATGCCACTGATTTAAAAACCCTAGTTCCAAAGCCCTAGTTGTTTGAAATCTTGGTCAAGATACTTACTCCAAGATAAGGAGAAAAAAATTTATTAAGCAACCCCTATTGTCATCTCTTCTGCGAGTTGACACTGATATGTATGCACATAATCTTCATTCTTCCCAACTCTCCAATTCGTGCTATTTTTGTAGAGTGAGAACTCAGATTCTGTTATCAACGAAAAGTGATGTCTTACTAAATCTGAGCTATTTTACATATAGGAAAAAAACCCATAACCTTCTGTATTACACTACGGAAACCAGCTGCTCAGATACAATTCAGCTGGCAAGAAATAAAGTGCATAATGACCATCACTGAGAAGTTGCTCATTTCAGTTTAGCACGGTTAGTGTTAATATTTAACTATAAGAGTAGCAAAATGCTATTTAAAGTTAAGCCTTCCTGGTAATATGGGCAGAGGAATCTAGAACAAAATACATGTAGAAAAAATAATGCCAGTGCTATATACATGGGGGGGAGAGAGAGGTGTTAAATAGTTCCCTAAATATCCACAGAGCTAAACTACTAGACAGGTATGCCAACAGGCAGCACCTGAAATGAAGAGTCACACTCTGTTTGTTTCGCTTCCACTACGCCTGAATTCAATTTACAGCTTTCTGACATCTGACTCATTTCATCTTGTGCAAGTGAAGCCCAGTCTTGAGTGTCTACAGAAACTGTGTCATATAAAGAATCTTGTTTTTCCTCCGAAGCTGCTGTCTGGGGCCTACTTCCTTCTGTCCCATCACTGCAACATGTCCTGTCATCATCCTCTTCTAGCTGCTGAACAGATGTCAGATACTGCTGCAAAAGACTACTGTCTTGCTCGCTGTTAGAGCTCTCCTTACTCTGATCCCCAGAGTCTACCAGAGCATCTTCTGCATTGGAAGGACCTTCTGAAACAGAATCCCCACAATATTTGACTGTTTCTATAGAATTTTCCACAAGAAAACTATCACTCCCATGTGTAAAACTATTTTCAGAGCCATGTGAATCACTAATGTGGGTTTGATCAATCATGGAGGAGTGAAAGCCAGAGTCTGGGAACTCTGGTAAAAATTTCTCCAGAAGAGTTTCAGCTACTGAAGCCGAACAGGTAGAAATAAAATCAGAAGAAGGTTCTTGAAAGAGACTAGATGACTGAACAGGTAGGTTGGATGAATTCAAAGTACTTGATATAGGAACAGGATGCTGCCAGACTGTATTAAGATTTTGGTTCATTGTAAGTTGCCACTGTTGAAGTGATTGAACCTGCAAACCACAAAAAACAATTTGTTATGAAACAAGGGGAACAAAGGCATTTGCTAAACCTGGCAATAAGTCTGTAAATAAACAGCATACGATTGGGAGGGATCAAGAAAATAAAAGGCATTCTGCCTAGACAAAGGGAAAGATGCACTTTACATTATGAAATAATGACCCTTATTATTTCCAGCTTAGAGTCTATGCATTGATAGGCCTCAACAGAAGCCATACGGAGTCCTCTTTGGACAGAGCATGGTAACTGGATATGTATCAAATGAGACCTCCAACAAGAGTATAAAAGGCCCTTGAAGAGAAGTGTGATGCTTTTAAAGGAGATGACTCATGTTTAGACGTTTCTATTTGGATGCTACAACTATAGATCTCTTTCCACACAGAGTACACACATTTTTAGATACAACGTAAAACTGTTAGCTTTAGAACTTAATGAAAAACTAATCCATTGCTTCCAGAGGCAACATAGTCTCAGTGGATACTGGGGCAATCACCAAATTATTTTTTGACCACACTTAGGATCAACTCAGTTACTTTCTCCAGCATTTTCTCCTTTTTACAATTCCTAACTCAATTTTAAATTTTAGTAATGAAAACTTATCTGGGCCTGATTCTCAACATATTTATTCAAATCCAAAAATGAGCTCCCCCCTGGACAACACAGGAAAAAAAGCCCTGGCCTAGATTTAAGTAGCAGCCCAGGGCAGGCGGTGGCTTGGCTCCAGCTTTGGCCGTGGGCTCCGAGATGAAGCCCGACTTGAGCTGACCTCTGCCAGAGTCTGCCCGGCTTAACCCCTCTGCCTGAGCCCTACCTCTTTTCCCTGCAGCTGCCCCCTCCAACCTGCTCCCCCCCCCCCCCCTCCAACTACCCTCTCCCCTCCTTACCTTGTGCTCCAACTCTAGTCCCTCCAGCCCAGACCCAGCCAGCTGGAAACTGCCACTGTTTCTCTCTGGCTAGGCTGGGCCCCGACCACGGCTGCTACACACTATCTCCTAGTCAGACCAGAACCGCAGCAGAAGATAAGGGTGCAGGAGGAGGGGAGAGACAGGGATTGGGATGGAGCAGCCATAGGAGACAGGCACAGTTATAAGGGGTGGGAAGCAAACTGTAGAGGGGATCAAGGAGTAGGGAGGCAGGGACTGGAAGGACAGAAGCAAGAGGCTGGCAGCAAGGAGGCATGTGAGGGTGCAGGCAGCAGGCAAACAACCAAGAAAGGGGCAGGGGTCTGGTCCCTCATGCTCTGCCCACTATTCCACCCCCCACTGCTGTGGCAGGAAAAATGTAGGACCTCTCCCCAATAATTAGGTTCTAGACATACGTAGTTATAACAAATTTATAATTTCCCATGTATAGAATCTAATTATTGGGGAAGGGTCTTACATTTGAAGTTACCTTGGATTTAGGTAAATACATTTTGCAGTTGTTATGTATGCTTCTTCTAAATTGCTAGTAACAAAACAGCTATCACCAAATAACTTGCTGGCAAGGTGTCCATTACTCCAAGTCATGGCAGTCAGGGCTACATTCACATTTTTTTCAATATTTACAACTGAAAAGTATGCTTTTTAATTCATAATAGGATAAAAGTACTAAAGATATTTACCTGGTTCCAAAGGTAGCTGATAGCCTCCTCCTGTATAAGTCTTTGAATCTTTTCTTCATCTCTCTCTCTTATTAGTCTAAAACACACAAGATATTTAACTTAATAATGCAATGTTTCCTTGAGTGACAAGACCAACATGTTCCATATAAAAACCTTTTGTACAACACTATTGTCTAAAGAAACAACAGAGTAAAGTGTTTAGTCATTCTTCTTAGTTTAGTTTTTTCTTGTCATCACATTCATTTAGCTGCTGGAGTGATTTCAAATACTGTATGCGAGTACCCTTGTGCTTTCTTACTGTTAGTTCTCTTTATGCCATTCTCCATTACCTCCTTAGAGAACTGACATTTAAGAAGGCTGTTCTAAAATAGGACTAATGTACTGCTGGACAACTTCCACAGAACTGCCTACCTGAGGGCTCTCACTTACTTCTGTGGACCTCTTATTGCAGGCACATAAATCATTAAGATGAAGAAGGTCAGTCAAATGAAAGGGCTTCTATATATTGCTTCAGAGTGCTAGCAGCAAACAGTACAGATATTATCCATTAACTAACAAGGCATCCAGTATGCCAGATGAGTTCTGCTTCTTTCTAGCTATAAGGTATGAGCACTTAAACACCAAACCACACCACTCTGAAGCAAGGCTCTCTTCTCTGATAGTATCGCTGCAAGGATATCATGACATTCTGCTTTATTGCATCTCTAGTTGTATCAGACTGCTTAATTTTACCAAATGTCAACTCTAAATCACCAGCTTTATAATTTCAGCCTGTACTCCAAGTAGCAAACTTTCAGATTTCCTGTTTATTTATCAACACCACTAAAAATCCTGTGCACCAAGCCATGTGCTCAGTAATTTGCATACATCCCAAACTAAGCCAAAGGGGTAACAAGTGTAACCAGAAGTATTATTTTATGGTGAAGGTGTTTCAGAGCAGTTATTTGAGGGCCTGATTTGAACCCACAGAGAAGAAGTGTCCAATTCATGCAGCCCCATAATCTAGATGAGTGGCACGGGGTTGGTCGATGGGCCAGATTAGGCCAACAGACCCTCTCTCATAGCATACCTGATATGGCAACTATTGCAGCCAGTCTGGGACCTGGAGTGGACAGAATGGGTACTACATGCAGTGCAGACTGGCCAGAGCAGCAACTGAGCTGCATGCAATGGATGCCCACTCTGAGGCACATGCCAGGCATGGCACATTTTCCAGCCCATCTGGGACCCATGCTGCACACAGTGCTTGCAGGCACAACATGCAGCATGAATCCAGGATGGGCCGGAGTAGGTGTCACATGCAGCATAATCCTGGAGCTGCCAGGATGGTCACTGTGGGGCAGCCACTGCCTCTGCTGCTCTAGGCAGAGTGCACCATACACAGCACCCATCCCAGCTGCTCAGGTCCCAGAGTGGCTGGAGTGGCCGCTGGATCAGGAATGCTAGCGGAAGGGGGAGAGGAAGAGGTAGGGGTCCATGGACAGGATCTGGCTCACAGACCAGCCTTGTACCACAGGCACATATTGTATCAGCCTGATCAGACCCAGGGGCAGCACAAGGGGCTACATGGCAGGGCTCTGCAGGCTGGATCCAGGCTGCGGGCGGTATGTT